CATGAGTGGATTAATAAAATGTGGTATATGTATACCATGGAATACTACTCAACTACAAAAAACAATGGTGAACTAGCACCTCTTACATTACCCTGGATAGAGATTGAGCCCATCCTTCAAAGTGAGGTATCACAAGGATGGAAAAACATGCACCACATGTACTTGCCATCAAATTGGTACTAACTGATCAACACTCAGGTATTCACATGGTAGTAATACTCATTGGGGGCTGGTCAGGTGGGGGAGGTAGGGAAGGTGAGGGGGGTGTGGGAGGGTAAACCACAACTAATGGAATCGGAGCACACTGTATGGGGGAAGGACATACTTGTAGCCCCGGCTTGGGCAAAGCAAACGCATTACATGTAATCGAAATGTTTGTATCCCCATAATGTCCTGAATTAAAAAAAAAAAAAATCTGAAGAGCCCAGCCTAAACCTGTGATATGAGGGAGGAGAGTAACACCAGAATATTTTGGTGGGTGCAGAGTAGTGGTATGAAAAGCATATTCAAAATTATAATGCCATTTTATACTCGGAAAACCAACCAACCAACCAACCGATTGTTTTCATAATACGAAGAAAAAGGAATGCAAGACCAAATTTTCTTTGATGGTAAAAATAAACAAAGCCAGTCCATCATAAATATTCCCCAGAGGGTGATGTCTACCAGTATTAAAGGGTGGGAGCCTTGGCATTTTTTAATATTTATCCGAACAGCATGGATTTCAAAAACATAGGAAATGACGCAAGACCCAATTTCTTCAACAAATATATTGTAAAGAAAAAAAAAAAAAAAGAAACTTAAGAGGCATATCAACCAAATACCATGTGTGGATCTGGTCAAAATCCTGACCGGCACAAAACAACGGTTAAAAAAAAAAGAGAGAGAACATCAAATATTGCGGAAACTAAGGCTTCAGTATCCCGGGTTCGTTATCCTATTCTCTCTAGGATCCTGGTTCTAAACAGGTCGAAAACGAGGCCTGAGGCGGGCCCAGCCCTCCCTGCACTCAGCCAGGGCTGTCCGCCTGTCCCGCGCTCCCAGAGAAGACAGCAACGGGACCCCGGGGAGGAGCTCCGGGGGACAGGCACCGCCTCCGCGGGAGACCACCCTTGCCTGAACGGACATGCTCCGGCCTTCAGTCGCAGGCGGGTCCTGCCGGTCTCAGGCGCTGCACCTGCCCGCAGGCCCCGGAGCCGACCAGCCTCTGGCCGCGGGCGCTTCCCCGAGCCCGCCCCGGGTCCCGCGCGCGCCACAGCCGCTCGGCCCCTGAGGCGCGGCGCGGACGGACGGAGGCCGCGCGGGGCCAGGCGCCACCGCCTGGCCGGCTACTCACCGCGACGCCGGCAGCCCAGGACCGAGGCCTTCCGGGACTCGCGCGGTCGCATCATCCCTCCCACTACAGCCCCAGTCCGAGCCGCAGGAACCGCGGCGGGCGGAGCTGCCGGGGGGAAACGCGGCCCGGGCAGCCGAGCAGCCGGGCGTCGCGCACTCACGGGGCGGGATGGCGGCCGCGGGCTCGCCCAGGCCCAGCGGCCTCGCCCAGTCCCCGCGCCGCAGCCTCTGCCGAGCGCCGCGCGACCGCCGGCGCCACGTGACGGGAGGCCCGCCCCGCCGCGGCTGACGTCACCGGCCCGGCCTCGCGATTTCCCCCGAACGCTTGCGCAACCTCGCGCGTGGCCCTAGCTTTGAGGTCTGTGACGGCTGCCTTCGGCTCTCTCCCTCAGAAAAGACCCCATTAAAGACAAATACCCTGCCTGTGGCTCCACTGCTCGGGAGGCTGAGGCGGGGGCCGTCGCTTGAGCCCAGGACCTCCGGGCTGTGGTGCACGGTGCCCACGGGGTGTCGCACCTAAGTTGGGCATCTGTATGGTGAACTCGGGAGCGGGGGAGCGCCGGGATGCCTAAGGAGGGCTGACCCGGGCCAGGCCGGAAACGAAGCAGGCAAAACGCTGGTGCTGATCAGTAGTGGGATGGAGCCGGTGGTCGCCCTGCACTCCAGCCTGGGCAGCATAGGGAGACCCTGTCTCTTAACAGAAAAGACAAGTGTCCTTAAACATATTAAAAGATGTTCAGCTTCACTTAAGATAAATGAAGTGTAGATTAAAATGTAAAGGGAGAAGCTGTGGAAAAAAGACTCACATATTGGTAAGCGTGCAAAAGTATACAACTCCCATAGAGGGGAATTTGACAATTTCTAACAAAAATGGTACAGATATTCAAATTTGGCCCATTAATGCCAAATTATATGAATGAATATCTTAATACTTAAACTTATTTGCCTTCTGAAATAAATCCCTTCTAGTCAAGAATTAAAAAAAAATGTTTTAAGAACTCATTGCTTCACAGTGAAAGTCTGATAGGATATTGCACACGTGTAGGAAGGGAGGAAATTCTGCATCCCTTATAAATTAAAGGGCAGAGAGGGCGGAAAGAAAAGAGCCACACCTGACCCAAAGCAATGACCTTCTTGAGCTGAATGAAGCACGTGGCCCAGCCCATCTCCTGGATTAGTAGGCCCTGCCAAATACCTAATGAGGTTGTCCAGGTGTAGGGGGTGTCACGTTGTTCCACCCAGGTTTCCCCCTAAGGACTGAGGACTCATTTCCCCAGTTGTTGGGTGTGTAAGCAGCTGATGGCCCCCAACTGAGTCCTGTGGCATTGCCCTCAGCCAAAGAGAACTGCTGCTCCGTGCTGAGTCAAATTTCTTTGACCCCTTTTACCCTGATGGGGGCAACAATTCATTCCTCTTGACTGGAATTAACAGGTGTTTCAGGTATGGGTTTCTCTTGCAAAGGTAGTACAGACAGTACACATATATCTTCACCCCAGTTCCCCCACTGGTTGCAGCTCACATAAGATGTATGCAGTATAATACCAAATCTGCCCCACTGGGGTTCAAGCCTGCTAGGAGCCCCTCAGAAACTGTCCTTGGCAGTGGTGAGGAAACCAGAGTGACGTCTACTAGGTATATTTAAAAGCATTGTAACAAATTTAAATATATAAATATTGCCAGAAATTACATCCTTCCAACTACCTAAATTTATAATGAAAAATTTTAAATATCAACTTAAACAAGTATAAGGGGGTACAAAGCTTTGGGGATTGTTTGTTAATTAATACCTTCATGAAGGGGTTAATGCAATGAGTGAGTTCTTTCTTGCTCTCTCAGGACTGGATTAGTTACCCCGAAAACCAGCCGTTAATAAGCAAGACTGTCCCTTTAGCTCAAACCCAAGCAAAAGAGTTTGAAGACAAGCGCTCTAGGGCCTTGCTGCTTAGATGGTGGTCCCGAAACTAGCAACATCAACATCCTCTGGAACTTGTTAGAAAAGCTCATCTTATGCTCCACCCTAGACCTACTTAGTTAAAATCTGCATTTTACCAAGATCTCCAGGTGATTTATATACAAATTAAAGTTTGAAATCATGCTCTAGGGTACAATTGGGACCTGTGAGTTTCTATTGCTTCAACTTCTCCCACCTTTGATAGCGTCAGATATTTAAATATTTGCCAACCCGATGAGTGTGGAAGAAACCTGTTTATAGCTGTTATTTTAGGTATTATTCCACCAAACAAATGTACAAGGTTACTTAACTATTATTCTAGTAATTGAGGATCAATTTTTAATGACTTTCTAGAAGCAAGCAAGGTGTAAATAATATATGGGCCAAGAATATAATCACAGTGTGACGCTTGTTTTGTGTTGCCAGGTTGACCTTCTAAAGGCTCAATCAAGTTATCTAGCTGTCTGTAACATATTAGTACCAATTTTCCCCATGTATTTCTAGCAATCTATTTTTATTAAATATTTTGCTGAATAGATAAGTATAAAGAGATATTTATAAGAAAAAAGATCCTTTTTAATTTACATTGTATCTATTATCTCAAAGAACAGGAGTTTCATGAAGGGAGGGATGTTTGCCTACTCCATTCTTTGATGCATCCCAGCACCTAGAAGAATACTTGGCCTGAGTAAATACTCAATTGTTGATTGCACGAGCTTAATAGTCAAACGGTTTCCTGCTGCAAAAACGAGCTTGTCTTTTCTCCAATATAGACTTTTTTGTTACGCTATCAAAAGTCTCCTTCACTCCTTTTTTGCCCCTTTCAATGTGTTCCTTCCCTCAATTTCTCTTTGTTGTCTTTGTGAATTCAATCTCTATCACCTTCCTAGCCACTGTCACCATGATGAACCCAACAGAGATCCCCCTAACCCCAAAGATGGCCAAAGAAATACTTTCGACATCTGGGTGTGTGTTCACCCAGGACAGACAAGGCACCCAGCTGCTTCTTCCCTGATCCCAGCTAAAGTTACCAAGAGTCAGTCAGTCAGTCGGAACATAGATAAACACAGTGCAAGAAGTGTCAGGAGAGCTGTTGGCCAGAGCCACAGGAGGGGACAGACATGAAAAAGGCAAAATCAGAAACAGGGAAGAGTGGTGTCTCCAGTGACACAAAGGCTGACAGAAACAAACAGGGAAGCTGGCCCGGAGGGCCAAACTGGACACCCAGGCGAGCAGACTGGACATCAGAAGTTCAGGAACCCAGCCAAGCAAGGTGTCAGTACCAGGATCTATACTGGCAGCACAAAAGGAGCTTAACACAGTACGCACCAAGCATGGCTCTCTGTGCGTGTCTTACGAAAAGAGCAACCTTATGGAGTAGAAATTGGGTAGAAAGGCTCCAAGGGCAGAGCAGTGCCTGTAGTTCCACCAGGACCAAGTGACTTTGGCAAATAATTGCAAACAATCTACTTTACCTTAATGAGTGGTGTGATAGTTTTAACTGATTGACAGCTTACATCTCTAATGTTCAAGGTCTTGTCATCTCAGAAATTCAGTGGTAGATGAGTAACAAAGTATTAAGAATTGTCGTTAAAGGAGAGAAAAGGCACTCATGTTGTATGTAGACCACTCTGGTTGTATTTCATATTGCATTTCACATAATTCCATGATATTCCAAACTTGTACTCTAATGCCACTATGTCGAAGGACTTCATTAACCCTCTATTAATGAAAAGGATTTGTTTTCCTTTCATCAGCTATCCACAGATACCTCCAACTCTGGGAAGACAGTATCCAAATACCACTGAAATGACTTGCAACCCAATCGTTTCCTTAGTTCAACACGCTCGCTAATGTTTCCATAGGTAGTGAATTTTAGACTTGGTCTTCGAAGAAAAAACTGCTCCTAAATGAAAATGAAGAGTTAAAATTCATTAAACCAAACAAATCTTTGGTAATAAAATCATGATATCTAACATGTGAACTAAAAAAATCCCTCCTGATTTCCCCTGCACAGGGAACAAGGGCAGAGACACACCATGGGGCCTCGGATTTGCTGACCCAGCACATGGCACCCACAGGCTGTGCTGCTGCGCCATGACTAGTGGCACAGCGGATCCAAGGGGACTGGATCCTGCTTCTCAGGAGCCAAAGAATCACAGCCACCTATTGCAATGCCCCTTTCTCCTACTTTTCAGCAATACTCCAGGATCCTCTCACTCCCTGGACCCAATCAACACTTCCATCTTTTCAGAAACGGGGGATGTGCTGGGGGAATGGACTCGATAGGCAGACAGCGGGGTTCCAAGCCTAATTCTGCTGTTAATTATCTGTGTGACCTTGGGCGAGTTAGTTGAGCTCTCCCATCTTAAGGTTGTGGGGAGGACTCTGAACACTTTAATATGTACTTGCAGAGGCCCTGGGAGAGGAAGGCTGGCACAGAGTGTCATGTTCATGTTGGTCGTTGTTATCAGCACCCCTGGTTAGTTTTTTGTGTGGTCTGACTTAAGGAAGCACCAACAATGAATGTCCAGTGGACTCTGTTGGCCCCACATTAAGAGAAGTATTCTAAGTAGACTGAAGCCTCTTAGAAAGCAGAACCCTTGTCCTTCCATCTGTATATTCCCAGTGCCTGGTGTACAGGCTGGTACTAGTGTTGAATGAGAGAGAGAGTTTGTTTATCTAAATTTACACATTATGGGCATATCACGTGGGATTCTCCCTGGGGATCCTTGATCGCTGTAGGTCTTTGCCACCCCTATATGTCCAGGGCAGATTGGTGCAGAGGATGGGCCTGAAGGTGGGGGAGGGTGTCATCATTCTGCAGGGAGCGAAGGCAGGGATAACCTTAGACAAGGTCTCCCTGTACAAAGCCCTCTCTTCTCCTGGCCACTCACTAAATTTTGCAATGTGGTATATCATACAAGCCATTGATTTTATAGTTAACATTTCATGCTTTTAAATTAACTTTTTGGCACTGTATGTTTTATGAAAGTCAGAAAACCACTCAGAGATATCTGTGTTCAATTCAACCATCTAGATCCATGATCAGAGCTCACAGGAAAAAAAATGAACAAACATGAAAATAAGCTCAAGATCTCTTGTAATAAACACAATTTCAAACAATAAGATATCATTTTTTAGCCTATCAGATAGAAGTATCAGTTCAGTTATAAGCACCGTGGGGCAACAGGCACTCTCACAGACATTTGAAGGCGGTGCAGATGGCAGCACAGTGAAGTCCAGCTTGGATACTACCCATGAGGATCTAAAATGCACTAACTCGTGTCCCAGCAAGTTCATGTCTTGAAATTATTCCAAAGATATATTTGCACAAATGTGCAAAAAGACATGTGTAAAGAATGTTCATTTCTGCATTGTTAAGAAATAACAAAAAGCCAGGATGATCAGAATGGCCATCAATAGGAAATATTTACCAGTGGGATTGGCTTTAGTAGATCCATTCAAAGAAACTATTTGAAAGGATCAGATATGTTTCTATGTTCTGATTTTGAAAAATGATTTGAAAATGTGTTTTCAAAATATACTAACAAGTGAAATAATTTCAGAACAAAATATTTTGCAAATCTAGTTATGTAAAAAAAGGTATATTCTTGTGCACATGGGCGTGTTAACAAGGAACTGCAAAGAGTAATTTAGTGATTACTTCTGAGCAGTAGACCTATGGTCGTAGAACTTACTTTTCACTTCATACTCTTCAGTACCGTATGACGTTTGAAAATGAGCATGTTTTATGTTTTTTAAAATATCAGAAATATAATAAATATACAAAAAGTACATGAAATATAAATGTGCCGCTTAATGGAGTGTTGAAAAATCAACCACAGTAACCCTATGTCAAGAAATAGAACATCACCAGCGTCCAGGAGCCCCCTTTATTCCCTTTCCCGATCACAACCCTCTTCCTCAGTTTTAAATGCCGTCCTGATTATGTATTCAGGTGTTTGCATCTCTTTCTAGCTTTGGTACGTAATTATGCATGCACACATTATGTGGTTTACTTTTACTCATTTTTAACTTCACAGAAAGAGAATAATACAGTATATATTCTATTGTGCTTGGCTGCTTTGATTCACCATTACATCTCTAAGATTTATCTGTGCTGTTGTACTGCAAAACGACGTTTTGGTCAACGATGGACCACATATCGATGGTGGCCCCATAGGATTATAATATAGGTATTTTTACTGTACCTTTTCTGTGTTTAGATACACAATACTTACCCCTATGTTATGGTTGCCTGCGGTAAGATGTGTAAGAACAGTACAGTAACATGCTGAACAGGTTTGTAGCCTAGGAGCAATAGGCTATCCCATATAGCCTAGGTGTATAGTAGGCTATACCATCTCGGTTTGTATTGTGTAAGTGCACTCTATGATGTTTGCACAATGACAAAATTGCCTAACTGCACTTCTAAGAACCTATCCATGACATTAAGTGACACATGACTGTATATCTACAGTTTGATAATTTTCATTGCTGTTTAGGATTACATCAACTAAATCTAAATCTATCACATTTATTCACTTTACTTTTCTTTTTTTTGAAACAAAGTCTTGCTCTGTTGCCTGGGCTCCAATGCAGTGGCATCATCATAGCTCACTGCAACCTCAAACTCCTTGCCTTAAGCAATCCTCCTGCCTCAGGCTCTGGAGTAGCTGGGACTACAGGCTCACACCACCATGCTCAGCTAATTTTATGGTTTTTTTGGAGAGATGGGGTCTTGTTCTTGCTCAGGCTGGTCACGAACTTCTGGTCTCAAGCAATCCTCCTGCCTCAGCCTCCCAAAGTGCTAGGATTACAGGCATGAGCCACCACACGCAGCCTATCCACTCCACTCTTTTTTTTTTTTTTTTTTTTGAGACAGAGTCTCACTGTGTTGCCTGGGCTAGAGTGCCGTGGTGTCATCCTAGCTCACAGCAACCTCAAACTCCTGGGCTCAAGAGATCCTCCTGCCTCAGCCTCCCGAGTAGCTGGGACTACAGGCATGTGCCACCATGCCTGGCTAATTTTTTCTGTATATTTTTAGTTGTCCAATTAACTTCTTTCTAATTTTAGTAGAGACGGGGTCTCGCTCTTTCTCAGGCTGGTCTCGAACTCCTGAGCTCAAACAATCCGCCCGCCTCGGCCTCCCAGAGAGCTAGGATTACAGGCGTGAGCCACTGCACCCGGCCTATCCACTCCACTCTTGATGAGAGTGTACAGTTGGGTTGTACAGTTGTACAGTTGACCCTTGAACAATGTGGGTTTGAAATGCATGGGTCCACTTATATGTGGATTTTTTTCAACCAAAGTTGGATTGAACACAGTATTCCTGGGATGGAAAACCATGAACATGGAGCGCCGACTTTTCACATACACAGGTTCCACAGGGCTGACTTTAGTATGGATTTAGTGTGGATTTTAGTATATGTGGGGTCCTGGAACCAATTCTCTGCAGATACCGACGGACGACTGTATTCAGTTTTGGCTAACACAAACAGTGATATTTATCCCTATTCATGTTCTTGTGTCCTGGTCCACAAAACCATGTATTTCTATAGTATATATACTGAATGGAATTACTTGATCATAGGGTATTCATGTCTCTTACTTTAGTAGATGTTGCCAAACAGTTTTCAAAAGTGAGTTTGTAATAATTAACACCCCCATTAGCGGTGTCTGAGAATTCCCATTGCTTGCCAACACTTGGTCTTATCAGACTTTAAAAATTCTACCAATCTAGGTGGCAGTGTCGAAACAGATCATTGAGGTTTTAATTCACATTTCCCTGATCACAAAAGAAATTGAACATTATTACTTTCATAATTTGAAAACCTGAATTAAAGAAACATAAGATGAAGAGCAGGACATGTGCTATCACAGAGAGATTCTTACACATTTCTACCCATTTGTCTGAAATGAGGTCTTGTTGGGGTTCCTTGTCCTTATTTGCTTGTATGTGGCTTCTGGATAGATATGTACCCTTTTAGGTCTTAGCAAGGGGCTTAACCCTTGGGGAAATGCACAGATGGAGGGGCATAGCTTTGACATAGAATCTCAACTGGTAGAAAAGAGGTAGTGGAGGTTCTCCTATGGTCCCCAAACCAGCAGCATCCACATCCCATGGGAAATTGGTAATGGAGGGAAAAAATCTAAATAGTTGCACATAGGGATGGGGCAGAGAGAGACTGTTTGCTTCTGGGGTTTGGCAGTTCCTTGGGTGGGGCGGGGAATAGATCTAGGCAAAAAAAAAAAAAAAAGACTTCTCATGTTGGTTGATTTACTTCTGAGAGTAACTTGAGTTTCCCTAGAAATTAAAATAAAAATAATGAGGTGCAAGAGTAGAAGCTTAGAATTAACTAATTGAGAATAGGTTTAGGGATGGGTTAATCAGAGGTTGGAGGGAGAACCATTAATTTAAAGGAAACAGAGAAAAAAACAAAAATTGGATCTGGACAGGCAGCAGAAGGCTTCTCCAGAGCAAGCCCACTCACACCTTTCCAAATCAGAGACGTGTTCCTCACCTTGTACTCATCCAGCCAAACATGCACCAGTCTTAGATAGTTACGTGTCACCGCTTTCGAGATTTCATGGTTTTTGGAGTCTTTCTTACTGATATGTCCTACTCGAGAGCAGGGGATTGTAAAGAGCTGGCCACCACACATCCAGATCTAGACATACGAGGAACAAGAAACATTAATAATGTATTTTTGCTAGTAATAGGTAACTGCTGTACTTTGTTACAAACATAATAATAGCTAATATTTATTAAGTTTCTTATTTCATTTAATCCTCACAGCAGCCTTATAATGTAGATACTGTGATTATCCCCATTTTTCAGATGACGAAACTAACACATAGATTGATTAAGAAGTTTGCCCAATGATATGGACGTTAAGTGGCAGAGTACAGCGTTCAAATTTAGGAAATCTGACCCGAGGGCTGGCACTCTGAATATTCAGCAATTCTGCCTCTCTCATAACTAAGTGCAGGTATTGCTGGATGGGGGCAAGTAACAAGACAAATGCTGACTGTGACTGAATTCAATTATTCGTCCATCCTTTTTGTACTTAAAACACTTGATAGCACTTACTTCTTTTTCATCCACTTCTAAGAGTCATTTTTGTTTTGTTCTGTTTTTGAGACAGGGTCTCACTCTATTGCCCAGGCTGGAGTGCAGTGGTGCGATCATAGCTCACTATAGCTTCCAACTCCTGGGCTCAAGTGATCCTCCTGCCTTAGCCTCCAAGTAGCTGGGACTACAGGAGGCATGGGCTGCCACACGTGGCTAGTTTTTCTATTTCTTTTTTAGAGACAGGGTCTTACTGTGTTGCTCAGGCTGGTCTCGAACTCCTGGGCTCAAGCAAGATTCCCACCTCAGCTTCCCAGAGTACTAGGATTACAGGTGTGAGCCACCACACCCAGCCTATAGCAGTTATTTTTAATAGCTTTTTTTGTTTGTTTTTACTATGCAAAAATAAAATATGGCCATTTGAAGACTTGGCAAATATAGAAAAGACACAGAAGAAAATAAAATTCACTTCTTGGCCTGACATTCTGAGTTAGTCAACATTAACTCAGGTATGTATGTAGACACACAAATACACACAACATCAAGAGGACTTGCTTTCTTCATCTGACGTTACGTGAAATGATTTTCAAAGCCTTACATTGTTTGGACATTTTGGTATGAATAGTTCCCAATGTCCGCCCAGACCTACTGAGCCGGGAAGCGGGGGCTGGGGCCCAGCTGTCTGGACTTCAGCACTTTAGGTGATCCTGAGGCACACTCGAGTCTGAGAGCCACTGTTTGAATTGATTGAGACCATATACCCCAGTTTTATAGACATTTTCTTAGGAAACCCACTTAATTATTTCGGGCAAAGTAACAGGAAATTAAGACCCTCATTGAAAATAATCCTCAGAAGTACTGCGATGAGATCTGTCAGTCAGTCAGTCAGAAGGGATATTAAAGAAAGAAACTGGGAGAGTAGAACTTCTGAAATAACATGAGACCTAATGACTGGTTCAACCAACCAACGTTCTTTAGAAACCGTATGCGCGCTTTGCAGCATAACTTTGCACCTCACTCCATCAAGAGGTGGAGTTTGTTTCTCCATCTCTTGACTTGCATCTTGGCCTCATGATTTGCTTTGGTCAATGGGACATCAGCAAATATGATGTGAGCAGAAGCTTGAAAAGACTTTGCAGCACAGTGGGACTTGCCTTCTTGCTACTCCTGGGAACCACGTGAATGAGCCTGGGCTAGCCTGCTTGCAGGTGAAAGGCAAATGGCCAGGTCACCCGCATTGCCCCAGCTACCACTGAGCCAGTTTCCAGACGCATAAGGAAGCCATCCTGGAGTACCCAGCACTAGCTGTGCCTCCAGGTGAACACAGATATAAGCCTGCGCCACGCCCCCCCCCACCCCCAGGCTGAGGACCAGTATCGGTCTTAGCCTGTTAGGAACAGGCTGCACGGCAGGAGGTGAACGGTGGGCAAGCAAGCGAAGCTTCATGGGTGTTTACCGCCGCTTCCCATAGCTCACGTCACCGCCTAAGCTCCGCCTCCTGTCAGATCAGTGGCAGCATTAGATTCTCACAGGAGCACGAACCGTGCTTTAAACTGCGCGTGCGAGGGATCTAGGTTGCATGTTCCTTATGAGAATCTAATGCCTGATGATCTCAGCTGGAGCGAGGTGGTGATGCTAGCTCTGGGGAGTGGCTGCAAATACAGATTATCATTAGCAGAGAGGTCTGACTGCACAGAGACCATAATAAATCAGTTGCTTGCAGACTCCTATCAAAACCCTATCAGTGAGTGGCAAGTGACAATTAAGCTGCATCTGGTGGCAGGCTTTACAGTGGCAAGTGAGTTGACGTGCTTCGATTGTACAGCTGCATTTGATGACAGGCTTTAAGTCAGAATGAGACACTTATTTTAGTCCTCATTTGTCCTGCCCATTATTTTCTGTCCGCACCTCTTTCCCATACTGCGTACTTGTCTCAGTCACAGTGTGGGTAGGCTCACAAGTCAACCCTAGCAAAAATGAGTAAAAAACAAACGTCCCTGGAGAGCTTCTTTGAAAAGGGGGAAAGATCCAATGATGAGACAGCAGAAGACTCTAAGACTGTCCACAAAATGAAAGCGACAATTAAAAGAAAATACCAAGAGTTCTACTTAAATTACGGGTTCATTACAACAGGTGCATCGCATTCTCCAAGCCCGCTTTGTGTAATATGTGGTGACCGACTATCCAACAAAGCCATGGAACCTTCAAAACTGCTTTGCCACGTGGAGACCAAGCACCCTGCACTAAAAGAAAAGCCTTTGGAGTTTTTCAAAAGAAAAAAACGTGAACACAAAGAACAGAAGCAATTACTGAAGGCCACGACTTCATTAAACGTGTCTGCACTGAGAGCATCACTGTTAGTGGCTACTGCATTGCTAAAGCTAAGAAGCCCCTTACTATTGGTGAAGGGTCGATCCTGCCTACTGCTAAGGACATTTGCCGTGAACTTTTAGGAGAGACTGCAGTTCAAAAGGTGGCACTTATTCCTCTTTCAGCTAGCACCAAACTAGATGAACTGATGAAATAGCAGAGGATATTGAGGCACAATTGTTAGAGAGGATAATGAGTCACGATGGTACCCAATCCAGGTAGACAAGTCTACTGATGTTGACAACAAGGCAACAACAATGCTTGTTTTTGTGTGATACATTTTTCAGGAGAATGTGCATGAGGATATGTTATGTGCATTTTTGTCGCCAACCAACACCACAGCTGCAGAACTATTCAAGTCTTTGAATGATTATATATCAGGAGAACTGAATTGGTCATTTTGTGTCTGTATATGCACAGATGGAACAGCTGCCATGACTGGGTGGCTTTCTGGTTTCACTACTTGGATCAAGGAGGTCGCTTCTGAATGTGAGTCTACGCACTCTTTCATTCATAGGGAAATGCTGGCTAGCCGAAATATGTCACCTGAACTAAACAACATTTTGCACAATGTGATTAAAATTATCAACCACATTAAAGTACACTTAACTCGTGTCTGGTCATGCAGCTCTGTGAGGAGATGGACGCAGAGCACACATGTCCGTTCTTACACCCAGAAGTGAGAGGGCTTTCTAAAGGTAGATCCCTGTCCAGAATTTTTGAGTTATGAGAACTGCTCCAGAGATTTCTTTTAGAAAAACTGTCACCACTGGCAGCACATTTCAGTGACATAGAATGGGTTGCAAAACTTGCTTACTTGTGTGATGTATTTAACCTGCTCAACGAACTCAATCTGTCACTTCAGGGGAGAACGACAACTGTGTTCAAGTGGGAAGATAAACTGGCTGCACTCAAAGCCAGACTGGAATTATGGGGGTGATGAGTGAACATCGGGCTTTTTGACATGTTTCAAACATCAGCAGAGATTTTAAAAGAGACTGAGCCAGGGCCTTCTTTCTCCCAGCTGGTGTATGATCACCTATCTCAGCTTTCAAAAGAGTTTGAGCATCACTTCCCAACCACAAAAGGCCCCCGAACTGGGAATGACTGGATCTATAACCCATCTGTGCACAGCCAGGTGAATTGACTTTGTCTATGCTAGGAGAAGATCAACTGCTTGAGATGGAAAATGACGGTGACCTTAAAAGTATGTTTGTGACAGCTTCAAATCTCCATTGTTCTGGATTAAAGTCAAGGTGGAATATCTTGAGATTGCCACCAAAGTACTGAAAAACCTGCTTCCATTTCCAACATCCTGTCTTTGTGGAGCAGGGTTTTCTGCAGTGACAGCAACCAAAACAAGGTTACAGAGTAGACTGGACATAAGCAACACACTTCGGGTGTCGCTGTCTCCCATCACCCCCAATGGGATTGTCTAGTTGCAGGAAAACAAGCTCAGGGCTCCCACTGATTCTGCATTATGGTGAATTGCATAATTATTTCATTATATATTACAATGTGATAATAATAGAAATATGGTGCACAATAAACGTAATGCATTTGAATCATCCCAAAACCATCCCCTCCCAGCCCCGGTCCGTGGAAAAATTGTCTTCCATGAAACTGGTTCCTGGTGACAAAAGCTTGAGGACCACTGTTACAAGCAATACCAGCAGGAATCAGCCTTTCTGGCTAAGACCAGAAGAACCACTTTAGTAACACAACAAATTATGAAAAATAACAACTGTTTGTTATTTTAAGCCACTGTGTTGTGGAATAATTTGTTATACAGAAAACGCTAATTGATATGTGAGGGGGCATTTTTTCCCTAACACTAGCTTTATTTATTTAAGTAAGTAAGACCTTCCACCCACTTGGTTGCTCATTCTGGAAGCTTGGTGTGATAGATGGAAATCTTGTCCGGGAAACATTAGCTTACTCTCTATCCCTCACTTTGGGGCAGAGTGTGTTTCCCTGACACACTGACTTTGGGCTTGTCTGTTCGACATGTTTGGCCAATGGAACGTGAGCACACATCGTGCATGCAGAGACTTAAATATGCTGTGTGGTTCGGCTTGACGTTTGAATTCCTGCCATTCAGCGTGAGCAGAACATGCTCCAAGTCGCTGCTGCTGCCAGAATGATGATCGGAGCTGAACCCAGGCAACTTGAGCCACCCTGGCCAACCAGGGACTGGTGAAAGGAAAAGGTAAGTGCTTACTGTCCTAAGCCACTCGGTTTGAGGTGGTTTGTAACATGGCATCGTGGAGGCACTAGCCACCAGATTCCTAGAATCCTGAGGAACAGAAATCCTGAGCAGATGGGCCAAGGAGCATAATCCACTGAGGCACTGGAGAGGGACAGTCAGAGCGGGAGGAGGGCACGGGGGCTCGCCTAAGTCTCTGTTACGTAGCCGTGTGAAAGTTTGCTTCATCCTTTCTCTGTTGCAGAACACGGTTTGTCCTCACATCACAGCATCCAAGGAGGTTAGCCACCTTGGCAAAGTCTAAACTGGCGTGGATACCTAAGAGGTTCCGTCTGGGGCTGAGGCAGAGAAACGAGCCTGCCTAGGTGGCAATCCTTGCAGTGCGAGGCAGGGCCCTGGTTCCCAGAGCAGCACACCTTGCCAACCTCGGGGGATTCCAGGATGGAGTGCAGGTGCTGGGGAGCTGGGAAAAGCTGAGATTGCAGGTTGCCAGGGGCTGTTTGAGGCCAGCCTCTGCTTTGCCGGGGAAATTGAAGTGCACATTTTGAAGCTCAGTTCTGAGAACCATTCAGAGGTGAGGAGTGAATCTGAAGATCTGTGGGCACCCAGCGAACCATCACTTTCCATAAGCAATGGTGGCCTCTAAGCTCAGGGCAACTGAAACAAGTTCAGAGCACTGGAGGCCCCCTCTACAGTGCCAGCCTCAGCTAAGAAGTGACTGAGAAACAGGGTAGAGCTGGTGCGTGTGGGCGGGGAGGGTCTGAGGGTCTCAAGACGTGAAGTTTAGCAGATAGCACGAGACAGGAAGCAACAGGTTTGTAGCATAGCACTTACTATACTCTGTGAATTTGGGC